TCTAAAATTACTATCATTTGCATAAATGTGTGGCATTCCTATCCTATAACAAAAATTGTTACACCAAAATTACCATAAAACCCTTTGTCAGAGAAACACCACTCTCCACCAGTATGATATTGTCCACTTTGAGCATAAACTTGAGTTTCCCTAAAAGGCCTCACTCCACTCTAAGCATAAACTTTCATGGTTTTATCTAGATTTCTCCAAAAGGTCTCACTCCAATAGAGAGAGTATTCTTTCACTCCAATGAAGAGAGTATTATTTGATTATATAAACGCACGATCATTCCCTAAATTAGCTGAGTTCGGATTTTCATCATCAACACCCTTGAATCTTGTACGACATAACAAAATTAATCAATAATAAAATCGATTACCGTGCCTTGTTATTTTCAATTTTGTTAATAATTTTCCAAAAATATGTATAAGGGATTCAAAATCATTACCCTGTAGAAAAAAAAAATTGTTGAGTGGCTTACTGAAATTTTTCACATATGCATGTGAAAGAAAATAAAATATGCTAGAAGAACTCATATTGGTTTATGAGAATACAATGTTGAAACTATCAAGTGTCAAATTCAGATTTCAAATTTTGATCTGAATCTTAAACCTAAGTCGTTACAAATGTTGAACTCATTCTCGAGAGACATAATTTAAGGTAAACAAATTACGTATTAATTTAATAGATTACCAAAAAAAATCTTTGACCTATCAACATTTTAAACTATGATTTAGATTAAAAAAAAGAAGCATGAACAAATTTACACCCTAAACGACATCGTTTCCAAGAGAAAACGACGGCGTTTAGTTAGGGCCCCAACAGCTCAAATACATAACCGTTCTGAGAGACTCCTCCGCCCGCTTAACCTTCTCCGCCTTAGCCGCCATTGCTGCAATCGAACCCACAGCACTGCAAAACCCCGCCGTCTGGTTCGAAGATCCAGAAGGGTCCCTCAGCCCCTTCGCCGCCGGCTCGCGCTCCGCCCTCTGATCATTCATTCCGCCGGACTCGCCGCCGTAAAAGAGCAGCGACAATGGTCTGTAGAAGGAAGTAGTAGAGTGGAGCTTGCTCAGCTGAAACGACCGGCGTGTTCGGTAATCGGTGTAGGATTCGTTTAAATGGGCTGACTTTCGATGAAAACTAGGGGTAGCAGGTGGGGCCCATATTGCCACGTTTCGCTTTTTCCAAAACATTTGGATAAGGACAACTGAATCGCCACGTCATTTTCTTGGATACCTCGTTGTCATCCACGACGATTAATTATTTTTTTAATTTGATATATTAATGTAAACTGACACTGTCCCGGTTAAGATATAAAAAAAAATACGTTTAATTTATATGATAATAAGATATTTATCTGTATTATTTATGAAAGAATGTTGTTTTATAACAAAAATAAAAGTTTTTTTTTAAAGCAATGACAAATTTAATAATATTTATTAGATTATCTTAATTAATTGGTTTGATATAATTTATAAAATAAAAATATTCATCTCAAAAATACTCCTACCCTTTGGTTGAAATATAATATTGGAAGAATATATTATAATAATTAGTTATGAAATATATCTAAGATATTATATCTTAATATTTTTTTTTTAATTTGATTAATAGTATATTTTATTTTATTTTCAATATTTAATTAATTTATATTTTCATTATTTATAGGTATTAATGGGTAGCTTGTATAATTATGAATTCAGTTTCAAAATTTTTAATAATATTATTAAAATTTAAAAAAGGTAAAAAAAATACTCTTACAAGTTTTGTATGAAAATCGTTAGCATGTTGTTTCAAAAATATCATTCTTTTAGTACTGTTTAATAAGATGCCTCTAAAATATAAAAAATTTCATTAATAACTCAATTTATTTAAAAATTCAAAATATTTTTACTCTCGGTATTGTGTTAAAAAAATACGTTTTAAAGTAGAATTAATACCCTATACCTTTATAAAACAAAGATTTAAATTTCTTGTATTCTTAATATAAGGACGAAAATCGTCTATCGACACTTCATCGATTATCTCCAAAAAAATTTAATGTTGCTTTTGAAATTCATGCATGTTTTTTAAATTGTATGGGTATTTTTAATTTTTTTTAAAAAAAATATTAAAAGTGTTTTTGGAGTTTATATCCCAAGTTGGTCTAGACTATTATTTCGACATCATGCATTGAATGTTCTCTCTAAATTTATAAAATCGAGTAATTTAATGCATGTGACAGGTATAGTTTTGGAAGACATGAGACTTTAAATATTAATATTAAATATTAAAAAAATTTGAAAAATAGAAAAAAAATAGAAAAAAAAAAAGAATATTGAGACCCTGGCCAACTCGGACTATCCAACTCTGGATCATAAAGGTTGGATTGGGTTGAATTTTTGAAAAATTGAAAAATTAGGGTTGGTTCGAGAGCTAACATTTTCTTGGTCGGGGCAACTCGCTCAACCTGAAAATAAGGTTACAACCCAATCTAACTATACCGTACTTTTAAGATTATTATGAATATTAAAAATATTTGACGTTTGTAGTCGATGTTAACGATACGTTGTGACGTGTGAGTATTTGATATTTGAACTTTATGAGATTCTAGTTAGCAACTCGACAACGTAATCTAATCAAATCTGAAAATAGAGGTTGAGTTAGGTTGGATTGTAATTGTTCGGGACACCAACTCAACCAGTTTTAAATGAAAATAAATAAAACTTTTAAATAATTAGAACATTAGCCTGTAATTATTTATTTAAACAACAATTAATTTATAATTTACACCTCAGCTAATACCGAGATCAGTGGTTGAGATTCAATTTTTATTTTTTAATATTAAAAATAATAATAATAATAAAAAAGATAATTTTAAATAGCAGTTTTAAATTCACACCACACAACCCTTGGATCTCGTATCTTATTTCAGCATTAAGATATGTAACCTTTACCAAAGTCAGCACTTTATTAATTATTAATATATATTTTTATATTAAATTTTTAATTTTATATAATTTTTGGTAATCAATCGTAGGTTGCTTTTTTAGGTAATTCAATCACAAATATAGGCATATAATAATCTAATTACATACTTTATTGGTAAAATATTAACATATTTTTAATATTCGTGTATCGTAGAATAAGGTAAAATTGAGTTGGACTGTAAACTTATTTTCGAGCTAGTGGGGTTAACCTGTAAAACTAACCCAACTCAATGTTAATGGTTTGAATTGGTCAAAATCTCGAGTAATACGGCTTATTTAATTTATTAATTTAGTTTTAAAATTTCAAATCTCTAGAAAAAACAATTATTAGAAACACATGCATAAAAATAATGATATAAAATATTATAATAAATGTCAATAATTTTGTTATTTTTTTAATTTATGAATATTTTATAGAAAAAGAAAATTATCTTGAAATTAGTGAAGAAAGAAAATGGAAAAATGTTGATTGGTTGGAAATAATAAATGTTTCTAAATTTCGGAAAACACCCAATTATTAATTGCATTTGTAAGGAAATGACCAATTCGACATTGGGTATATTCCGTCCGAAATTAATAGGTGAGGGATAAAATTGTCAATTCCTAAAAATATATATAAAAAATGTTTTAGTCAAACTAATTAATGGCTACAGTGGCAGAGTGCTGAAAAAAGTGTGGATTACGTGGCTTGTTTTTATTCGTTACAGCTGGAGTTCTTTATTTCCCAAGAAAATGTGATCCACCAATTTATCTTGAGGACATAAGTCAAGGGCATTTACATTATTAATTATATCCCTAAAATTATTTGAATTAATTTTATAAAATTTGGAAAATATAATATTAACCCATCAATGAAAAAATTCAGATAACTGTAGTTGGTGTTGAACGGAATAAGTTAGAATGGTGTGGATGATCCATACTCCAGTGAACATCGGTGCACGTAGGTTGTCAAGCTTATGCGTAATTAGCAAGTGGTATTGTGAGTTAATTTGCTCGAGTTGTTTGTCCAAACTCGAACATTAAGCATCATGTTGAAATCACGGATCGTAATTGTTGGATGATGAAAGTCACACTTTGGTTAATTTAGGGAATGATCATGGGTTTATAATGAAGGAATACTCTATCCATTTGTATGAGGCATTTTCGGAGAAGTCCAAAGCAAAGCTACGAGAGTTAGTACCCCATTTTTGAAACTTCCAGTGCCAAAGTCACTCAATGGGTAAGTCTGGGTTTCGCTCCAATCCCTAAAACGGACTATGTAATGTATTTTATCTGCTGGGTTACACTCCAATTCCTAAAACGGACTTTGTAATGTACTTTATCTGTTGGGTTACGCGCCAATCCCTAAAACGGACTATGTAAAGTACTTTATCTGCTGGGTTACGAGTGGAGTGTTCGTCTAACAGTAATAGTCATGAAACATTTCTTAGAGAAGAACGATTAGTACTTTTGGATTCTTAAATAACATGATTGGTATATATTATTTGGTAGAAGTTGAAATGTACAAAGTATGTTTTATGAGTATTTTTACATTCAACTAACCACATTTGAGCTAGAGCATAGACACGATTCGGGTGATTATGTCACGATCGTACTTTTTCAACCATGTAGCGTTGTGATCTTGACATGCTCATGACCAATCTTAGGCGAGGTTTGTCTTCACCAACCGAGCATCGCTTGTGCAAAATTCAAGATTGTTCGACCACACACGCCGCCTACGCGTATATGTTCAATCGTCTGCAACACAACCAACTTGCTTCTACGCTCGACCAAGTCATTCAGCTCGACCTTACCTCTACACGGCCCAATGCCTCCTAGACTTAAACAGATGTAAAGTGCAGAAAATGAAAGTGATGAACACGTGCGAGAGAGAGAGAGAGAGAGAGTACAAATCACAATCAGCAGCGCTGTAAAGGAGGACACGTCTCCATATTGATTCGCAAAGAGCTGCCACCAAACCCATCAATCTTAGCCTTCAATTCTAAGCCTTCCTTTGCTTATATATACAACTCTCTTCCATTAGGACTTAATGTCCTCTATTTCTCCCTCCTGGATTTGAAGAATCACCATGGGAAGAACACCTTGCTGCGATAGCACTGGGCTCAAGAAAGGGCCATGGACGCCTGAGGAAGATCACAAATTGCTTGATTACATACAAAAAAATGGACATGGCAACTGGAGGAATCTTCCCAAGAATGCAGGTACTATACGCCTTTACTTGTGTGTGCACCATATTCTTCTTAAAAATCAAACCTTTTCTATTTTTGGAAACTTGTAGGGCTCCAAAGATGTGGGAAGAGCTGTCGTTTGAGATGGACTAATTATCTTAGACCTGATATCAAACGAGGGAGATTTTCGTTCGAGGAGGAAGAAACCATTATTCAGCTCCATAGTGTTTTAGGCAACAAGTAAGTCTAAATTTTACTGAATTTCAGGTAGTTTCTATTAGAAACCATGACTCTCTGTAATTGTATGATATTGTCCACTTTAAGCATAAGCTCTCGTGACTTTGCTTTTAGTTTCCTCAAAAGGTCTCGTATCAATGGAGATGTATTTCTTACTTATAAACCCAACGTGAGGCTCCCTTCCAACAATCCTTCTCTCGATCAAAGTATACCAAAGAGCCTCCTCTGAGCCCTCGAACAGCCTCTCTTTAATCGAGGCTCGACTCTTTCTCTGGAGCCCTCGAACAAAGTACACTCTTTGTTCGACACTTGAGTCACTTTTGACTACACCTTCGAGGCTCACAAGTTCTTTATTCGAAATTTGAGGATTCTATTGACATGGCTAAGTTAAGGGCATGATTCTGATACCATATTAGGAATCACGAATCTCCACGATATTATGATATTGTCCACTTTGAGCATAACTTCTCGTGGTTTTTCTTTTAGTTTTCCCAAAAGATCTCTGTAGATAGTATTATTTGCTTATAAACCCACCATAATGATCCTCTTAATTAGCTAATATAGAACTCCCTTCCACGACAGTTTCACTTAATGTCATAACAAAAATTTGTTTAATTTCAATCATTCAGGTGGTCTGCAATTGCAACTCGATTACCAGGAAGAACGGACAACGAAATAAAGAACTATTGGAACACCCACATAAGAAAAAGGCTTCTAAGAATGGGAATCGATCCAGTAACCCACAGCCCGCGTCTCGACCTTCTAGACTTGTCCGCCATTTTACGCTCGACTCTCTACAGCTCTTCACAAATGAAGGTTTCAAGCCTGCTAGGAATTCAACCATTAGTCAATCCGGAGCTTCTAAAATTGGCTGCCTCATTAATGTCTTCTGAACGTAGAAGTCCAAGCTTTTCGCCTCAAAATTCTTCGCCAACCATTCAATTTCCTCATGAACAACAGCTGGTGGAGCCAACTGGAAGTGAATTCAATGATGAGTGGCTAAGTGGCCCGATTTTGCCGTCATGTTTGAACCTGGATGCTAATTTTGAGTTGCTGGGTTATGACTATCATGGCTTGGATCAGCAAGAGCTCGCACCGACGCTATGTTCCGTCGAGGGCAAGAACAAGAACAAGAACTTATGTTCGCCTTGTTCTTCAAGCCCCACACAGATGAATTCAAACTCAACGAACTTCACAAGTGCGGCGGAGGATGAAAAAGAAAGTTACTGCAGCCAGATTTTGAATTTTGAACTCCATGATATTTTTGATGAAGCTTTCATGTAATGAAAAGTCAAATAAATCCGAAAAATTTAAACTTTCGACAATTTGAAGCATTGCGAAATAGTTACGAACCCGTCATGATACCAAAAGTAAAAACTACCATAATCGTCAAATGGGTTCGACAATTATGGCTTTATTGTTCGTTGACCCGTACGTTCATAACCTCACGATACAATTTCTTTGACACACCCAATCATCTTTCTCTCGAACAAAGTACATCACAGAGTCTCTCCTGAGGTTTATGGAATTCTCGAATAACATCTCTTTAATCAAGTTTCGATTTTTTCATTGAGGGCCCTCAAACAAAGTACACATTTTGTTCGACCCTTATAATTAAGGACACGACTTTGATACCAACTCTACGATGGTATGATATTGTCCACTTTGAGTATAAACGTTCATGACTTTACTTTTGATTTTTCCAAAAAAATGATATTGTCCACTTTGAGGATAAACGTTCGTGACTTTCATTTTGATTTTTTCAAAAAAATCTTGTACCAATAAATATGTATTTTTTACGTATAAGCTTATGATCATTCCTTAACTAATCAATATAGGATGCACTCCGGACAATCGGGAGCAAGAGGAACTCTTTGAACGAATTTAGAGAAAAAGACCAAAAACCATGATTCCGGCGAGGAGACAGGGCGGTAGGTGGCGGAGTTGACGGTGGCTAAATGGTGGTGACATGTGTCAGATTCAGCTCCTGTTTATAGTTAAAAGTGACAATCAGGCATGGCGATTATTACGATAATTTCATTATATATTATATATATATATTTTTTTGAAAAAGTCAAAGGCTACGTGGCGGGAATACGGTGGGGACCACAAGGAAGACGGTGTTAAATGCTTTATTGACAATCACGGCATGGTTCATGTGTGATTATGTCACTTTCGACCCCACATTTTGTATTTATTGCTTTTTTAGTCAAAAATCTCAAAACCAAGACCTTAATGAGTCCTACGTCAGCATATTCGGACACGTAGTCTCAATAATGCAAGGCCATCATCTAATATGAATTAAAAAAAATTCAAACTTTAATATTATAATATAATTTTCGATCCTTAAAAAAAATTCTATAAATATTATAATTAGACTCTCAAAATTAATTAATTTTTTTTAAATTTAATTTATATATATAATTAAATGGGGCAAGGCAGCGATTTAGATGGAGATGAAGAATATAATCTCATCCTGATTCCATTTATCTAACGAGAAAAAATAAAAAACAAAATCATAAAAGCTTATGCTCAAAGTATACAATATCATACTACTGAGAGGTTCGTGATTCCTAATATGGTATCACAATCATGCCCTTAATATTTAGCAATGTAAATAAAATTCTCAAGTCACGAATAAAGTGTCAATCTCAAAGGTATAGTCAAAGTGACTCAAGTATTGAACAAATGGTGTACTTTGTTATTTTAAATTCATATGTAAAACAAGGTGTACTTTCCTTGTGAGATCCTTCCTCAATTGGAGAGGGGAACAAAATATTTTTTATAACGATGTGGAAACCTCTCCCGTTAGACGTGTTTTAAAACCTTGAAAAGAAGCCTGGAAGTGAAAACCCAAAGAGGACAATATCTACTGCAGTAGGCTTGAGTTGTTACAATTGGTGTTAGAGTCAGACATTGAGCGGTGTGTCAACGAGGACGTTGAGCCTCGAAGGGGGGATAGACACTAGGTGTGTGCAGCGAGGACGCTGGCCCCTGAAAGAGGTGGATTGTGAGATCTCACATCAGTTGGAGAGTGAAATGAAACATTCTTTACAAGGGTGTGGAGACCTCTCTAACGTACAAGGGTGTGGAGACCTCTCTAACGAAACATTCTTTACAAGGGTTTGGAGACCTCTCTAACGAAACATTCTTTACAAGGGCGTGGAGACCTCTCTCTAGCAGACACATTTTAAAATCTTGAGGAGAAGCCTGGAAGGGAAAGCCTAAAGAGGACAATATCTATCTGCAGTGGGCTTGGGCTGCTACATTCTTTTTCGATGGTTCAATTGTAAGAGAAAGTTTTTCTCGAATGCATGTGAGTGAGGACAAAACATGCAGAAAGAACTCTTGGTATATGAGTGCTTGGATTGTTACATTCCTAGTCGGGTAACCTACTGAAAATTTTCCTCAAATGCACGTGAGTGAGGATAAAACATACGGGAAGAACTCGTGTTGGTATATAGGAATAGTTTCATTCTTAGAAGCGAGAAACAAGTAATGTGACCACGTAGCAATGGATATTGGAGAATGCCAAGATCATCAAGTATATCGAATCCAGATTTCAAATCCTAGACATGAATCGTTACAAAAAAATTACAATCGAGACTAGAAAATTCATTCGAATGTTCGATTCTTTCTTTCATATTTGTGGAACACCGCCCTTGCCCGGAGGCTCCGACCACCCACACCCGCAGCAACTTCAGCACCATTGCCACTCAAAACGCACTCGACCTTCCCCTCGCCGCCGTAACACATCACAAAGTTCTTCTTTTGCGAATTTGGGGTTCCCCCATATTCTGTTATACACACAAATAACAATAAAACAATGAACAAACTGATCAAGAATGGCATACCTGAAAGCAGCTACAAAAGTAGAGCCAGAAATGAGGAAGAAACGTGATTGAATGTAGCGCTGATGGAAACATGGAGTTATAATTGGTGTCATTACATCAACGCTGCACTCAATGACGTATCTTTCAATCTGGTTTGAGATAATGGAGGCCGTTCCCTTTGTTTATGGATACTTTTTATATTGAATGGTGGAGGGGCTGCAGTACACAGCTAGTTGTATACATTTGTACTATCCCTTATGGGTTGCTTATGCATTTTCCTTTCCTTCTTTTGGTTGTTTCTAATTAATTGGATGTTTGATGACTTTGGTAAAAGATATGTTTTTGTACTATTTTTTGGTTTGTACTACAACCTAGCATTGTACTCCCTTTTCTTTAGAATAATTAGGAACTAACAAACATTCCCACCCAACCATTTCGGTTGGAGAAACTTTTTGGACTAACCCGAGTAATCCGAACTTGTTTCACAACCCAACTCTTTGTTTTTTGATTAGGTTAGGTTGAGACGTCGGGGTAAGACGAAAGGTTTAGAATAGTTTACTCTGATTTGTTGGTTGGATGTGCAACTAAGAGGGGGAGTAGGAGCAATGTGTGACTACAGACATCATGTGGCAGTGAGTGACGAGTGAGATTGGGAGCGGTGTAGTGTGTTCAGTGTCATGGTCATACTTGTCCAAGGCGTGTTGTCTATGATCACATGTCAGATGTCCCGATCATGTTTGTCTAGGATGTATTGTCCATGGTCGCATGCCTATACTAAATCCCTTTTACGTATTTTCTTTTTAGATAGGCTTTTACAATTTCATGTTGTGTCAATACGAAGGTGACTGTTCACCAAAATCATATCTATACCCGCTAGGGCTAAAATACCCCAAAGTGTACTATATGGGGATATATGGGGATATGACTAATTGTCACTTGTTCATACCTTGAATTATATGCTATTTAAGTCGTGGTGTTTCTTTCTTTGCTTATAGTCATATAGCATTGCTTTCTTCGATTCTTTCATTTGTTTTCAAATGTATTTTCTTGCTCACATTTTCTAAAACATTTCTCGCAAACATGATCCGAGGCTCGAGCATACTCCGATTTTGTCCGCGAAGTCCGAATTTGTCACGGCTAACTTATTCGTTGGATTAGAACAAGTGCGGCACAATCGCTATCCTGCTGTCACAAGAGTGCAATTGTGACACTCAGCCTACGTCTACGAGCGGGATGGGCATGGTGGCATGGTGCCATGGATTTTTTGGTTGGGTAGGGTTCTTATTCTTTCACCATCGTCGCACCATGTTTTATAATGGATCAGGTTTACTTGATTTTTTTTCTCTTTGAACCCAAAAGAATTTGGTTCCAGAAAAAATAACTTTACACAATTAAATATTATAGTAACTCAATCCAACTCAACTCTTATAATTATTTATTTATTTATTTATTTTTGTCTGATAGGTTATTAATTTATTCTATTTGTTTAAAAAAATGAATAAACGTATGGAAAGTTATTTATAATTACCCATATTCTTAGTTATAAGGTATGATTTGTAATTATTTTTAAATAGTTAAAATGAATCGAGGCCACGTTCAAATAAGAGTAATCTTGAAGGATAAGATGACTAAAAAAGATTTTATAAGAAGCATATTTTTTTCAAAAACTCAATCATAGAAACTTTATAGTTAATTGTATTTTGTCGGAAGCAACTCTTAGAAATTTTCTTAAAATACATGTGAAAGAGGATAAAGTATGCTAATAGAAGGACTCGTGTTGGTCTATAAGGATAGTAAAAGCGAAGAATAAGTAATGTGACTATGTCGAAGGAAAACGCTGGAGCTATCCGTGAGATTGCATATGAGTGAAGACACCGTATTTTAGCAGGGCTCATGTTGGTATGTGAGAGTAGCCTTTACTCCTAAAAAGAAAGAATAAGTAATGTGATCATATCGAAGCTATAAGATATCAAATCTTGAACATAAGTCGTTACAAGTCTAAGAATAGGCGAAGACTAGGAGTTGTGGGCAATATTACAACAGACACAGGGAAGCAAGCGAATGACTGAAATTAGAACCAAAAGTTGGTTCCTTCGGGGGTTCTTCAGCACTTCACTGTGCCTATTGTAATGCTGCCAGCACTCCCACCAAATTCAATCTCCAGTTCTTAAAGAAACAAACCAAAAGGCACACCACGGTATGTTCAATCTTGCATTTACACTGCTACTTATAGCAAAACTGGTGTGGATTTTGCAGTACAAGCATTGGCTATGAACACCATGAATTGTTGTACTCAGTCCTTTCCCATGGCTGCTGATTTGATCTCTTGGGTTACCTTTGCAGTACATTGTACTGGTTGAGTACTTGTACTGCATTTTCCCATCTTATTTCCACACATTTCCCTGTTAATTGAACCCAAAATGAAAATATTTCCCCACTTGTTGACATATCATGAATAAGACAGTTGGATATTGAAAATTAATCATATCACGTGGAACACAATAAGTTAACAACTAT